AACCGAACCTCGCCAATGACCTTCAAGTTTAGCCCGCTATCGCTATACCAAGATATTAAGTGAACCTAGAATCAGTCATGCCGATCACAATGGCCGTTCGTTCTAAATCATGAAGCGTCTTCGCCAGCTCTAATACTGGGGTCGTGGGTTCGAATCCCGCTCGAGGCATTGATGTCTGTGTGCGTCTATTCTGTGTTTGTGTTGTTCTGTGTGTAGGTAGAGGCCTGATCCCCCGTCCAAGGTGTACTGCTGACTATGTAGGAGTATGAAACTGAAAAGCGGCCAAGACCCAAAGAAGGGCTGTACAGCCCTAGATATAATCAATCATAGAGATGAGATAATTAGGGACAATAAAGCGACGTTAGACTTAACATGTCCAGAATTTTCCTTATTTTATTATTAACTCAGCGATTTTAATTATTATCGATGTCGCTATTATTAATATTTTTTTTAGAATGTCATCAAAAACAAAGAATAATTTGTCAGAGCAGTATCTGATAATAAGGATCAGATCAATATACAATTCCTTATTGGAATCCCTCGCAACACAACATAACGGTCAAGGTCAACATTACTTTAGCTACATGTTTCGGCTTTTAAAGCCATCATGAGGCAAAATACATAGTTACTATATTGCAATTTCATTGTGACAGTAGAGCTGGATACTTGACAACTATGTTACACTATAATAATACAAGGTATAAAAATTCGATGAATTATAAAATTATTATAAAACGAAAGTTATGTAGTAAAATATGGTTGAAAACTCATCATGTGATATTTCATATTACGAAGTCAGCTGTTGCAATCTTGTTGTTATATTCCAGCGGACATTTCTTTTTCCTTGGCACTACAGCCCCAGTGGGCCTAGGCCTACCTCCATGAACTTCTCCGTTCACTTCGGTTTTTCTAGATCTTACACATTCGGTAGGACTCCTTGGGCGGGTGATCAGCCCGTCGCAAGGCCTCTACCTGTACACAAACACAGAAAAACGCACAAACTAAACATCCATGCCCTGAGTGGGATTAGAACCCACGATCCCGGTTTCCAAGCGAGCGAAGACAGTACATGCCTTAGACCGCTCGGCTACCGTGAGCGGCCACATACAGCGGTATATTCAAGACTTGTATACATATAGTAAACTGCTTGGAGGCCCGTAGTATAGGTGTAATATTATTTGATATTAATTGTTTGGCCGGTGCCTCATTTTACAATGTATTTTGTCCGCTCTGGTGAGAATACAGATCAATGTACTCGTATATCTACCATATACACCCCTGCTGTTATATAGATGGTATCTCGAAAGCCTGCTGCAGTCTTCCTATTACATCCCTAGAGTAAGATAATAATGAACGAGTACACAGACTTTTATCTGTTGTAGTTGATTCCAATGTCCTACTTAATGACAGAACAGCATTTTGTTCAGAGCATTCAGCTTATCATCATATTCATAAAAGTTCAGTGTATAATGGTATTCCGTGGATGTGGGCCAACTTCTAACGATCAATGCAGAACGGGGAAATCAAGCACAAAGCAGGAATTCGAAGAAATTCTGAACTAATTAATTGAAGTGAAATGAAGGTATGGAAAGTTGTCACTGATAAATATGTCAATAAATTAAATTCTGTGTAATATTATTAATTACAGGAAACTAAAATTTGAAATATGTAGTATACACCAACATATACATGACTAAAACTGCGATACAAGTTTTGCAATGGCAGTGTTCTAATGTATCAAGCGATTCAAGATATTTTAAGGAGTGTTATAAATAACGCTCTTAATTGAGCGTTATGAAGAAATTAATTATATTATATCTTCAGAGATATTAAAAAAGGTAAGGAACTTATGCCGATCACAGTGACATGAAATGTCTTCGTCTTCTGGAACATTCGAATCGTGGGTTCGAATCCCACTCAATGCATGAATGTCTGTGTTTATTCTGTATTTCTATTGTCCTGTGTAGGTAGCGGCCGTGCGAAGGGTTGATTCCCCGTCCAAGCATTCCTACCGACTGTCTAAGATTAATAAACTGAAGTAAAACGAAGTGTTTCACGGATGCCTTGTGCTCCATATGGGAGCAACAGGAATAGAAGGAGAAGAAGAAGAAACTTATAGAATTTTGAATTGTACACAACACACAGCACATTGGAAACATCTAACCACAAGACATATACCTCAAGCTGACATCTCCCATCTTTGGGATGAATCAACAAGGAGGAGCTTAACATTCACATCAAATGTTTTAAATTTTTAAATATTTTAACATTGACGTTTTTAAACTTGAGGGAAGTTTCGGATGGAATGCGAGAATTGATAGAGCATTCAACAATCCTAGCAAGTGTTGTGCTTTTACACGTCGACATACTGTAGCAGCGTCCACGCAGCAAACATAACTGTGTACACCTTAAACAACAACAGTGTTTTCATGATTGTATTATGTGCCTCTGATGATGGTTGTATTAAACCGAAACATGTAAGGCAGAAGTGACAAAGAAGTGACCTACAAATTGTTACACTGGACGGACTTTCTATTGACTTTGTGAAACTTATAGAACTTGAGACTAGTAGACTTTAAAGAGTTCTGACGATGGTGTAGAACACTAATAATTGGTTGCGCTTAGATTTTTCCATCGTCTGGTATTCTAGGGACTCGAAAACACGTTTCGGAAACTGGATCTGTTTACGCCCTCAGGTGAGGGAGGGAAGACACCTACTCAGTTGGGTCCCTTAGAAGGAGCTAACCTCGATTCAGTGAACTCGATTCTGAACTTGAGACCAGATTCGATTTTCCATACAATTGTAAAGAACATTAAAGAGTTAAAAAAATCTCTACCGACAGACAGGTGTTGTCGTTTCACTACGCTTCTGCAAGCAATTCATCGGACAGGGATGCTATATTAGAACACCAAATTATTTGTAATTCCTAGATTCTTCCTCAGCTATAATTATCTTAATCATAATACCACTGTCCTGTCGGTTTCTGTATCTGCACTGAGCCCTGCACAACCATACACGTATATACATACCCAAATTTGAAGATAGAAGAACATATGTGATACCAAAAATTTAGTCATTTAATATTTTCAAAAAGAAGTTATTTTAGCATTAGGGTATTAATTTTGTATAGCAGCATTCAGATCATGTTTATCAACTGTGACAAAGAGAATATTACGAATCACCAATAATATATATATATATATATATATATAGGATTAAATATATATGCCACTTCAATCTTAGAAAATTCTGCACTATTTCCAAAAGCGAATTGTGTGTTTCGTATGATTCTTACGATAAACAACGTTTATTTCTATGGACTGCAATAAAAAAATTAGTTTTCCATCAATATGTTTTCTGTGAGGTATGAACTATATTATTGTAAATAATTCAGATAAAATCTATACTATCAATGACTAAACGGAAACTTCATTTATGGGTTCTACCTATAATTATTTGTGGGGCACGTGGCAGCATAGTTGGTTGAGGCATTATGCTACAAGCCCGAAGGTCGCAGGTTCCATTCCCGATGAGGTCATTGGATTTTTCAGTTAACCTAAACCTTCCAGTCGCACTATGAAACTGGGGTCGACTCAGCCATTAATAGAAATGAGTACCAGGAATCTTCTTGGGGCTAAAGGGCGACTGGTGCGTAAGGCTGACATTACCGCCGTCTGTGAGCCGATTGTCTAGAAAATGTTGAAGCCTCGACATCTCATAAACCCCACGGGCCTCCACGGCCTGTTACAGAGATATCTTTACCTTTTTTATCTAAAATTATTTTATATATTACGTACTGAAAGTCCACACTGCACACATCACATAGGCCTGGATGTGACACACAGTTCTATCATGTACACCCAATATAGAGACCCTTTGGCGTTTTCTATCGCTCTTTCATTTCACATATAAGGGAAGAAACAGAATATGCAATAAAGACTTCTTATATTGTCCCTATTTAAAATCTGTCTACTTAAACAAAAATAGAGAGTCAGAATTCGGCAAAACTTGTAACGAGTGAGATGACAAACTACCCAACTACTTAACTAAACCCAATGGTACATCGGTTTGGCCGTGTCTGAGGGTCTCACGACAGAGATCAATAAGGGTACCATATCCTAGGTTGTGACGTCATGTAAAGTCGCAGAAGTTTACTGACGTTTCTGAAGGATCTACTGCCTCAATTTCCTGGATCGAAGAATAAGTCATGCAAGCAACCCGCAAGGAGAAATGGCAAGCCCAGCGCTCTTCATAGTGCTTGTTGCTTCTTCTATTCTTGGAGGCCACACGGCGTCACATCCCAGGAGATATGTCCTTCGTGCATAAGTTTGCTCAAAACATTAATGGTGTTTCGGGTCCTTATAACACGAGCACTACTTAAAAGATTCGCCAAAGCTCACAAAAGGTTTCTGTAAACATGAAATGGACCCAGTTCGCCTTCCCACGGCTTATTTCACTATTTTGTTCAGCGTTTTTCTCTCATCTAAGCATAGGTTTATCAAATTCCAACCATGGCTTTCTCCTACTGCAATGTTGTGTAAATGTTCTTCGAATTTTTGTTATACTTTCCACCCATCAGTACCAAGGCCGATGCATTAAAACCTTTGGGAAGCATCAGAAAATAAAATAGACTATGATTATTTAAACTTCTGCTTCCCGAATTACAAGATTGCAGGTGATACAGAGCCAACGAAGCCAAAACATCCTCAACTTGATGCTAAGTAAATCCATGCATTGGTGTGGCATTATTCAGTAGCAAATCAGTACATTTCTTCAGGTGGATTTTTTATTAGATACATAACACTTACACTGAGGGGTATTTTGAAAGAAATATACTGTTTCATCTCACGCTCGCTTCTATGTGTGAATGATTAGCAACAATAAACAACGGTTCGCGTAATGAACATTAACTAAAAGAATACCATGTCATATAAATGAAATGAACACTCCGTTGCAACTTAACAGTGGTCAGACCGACAGAGGGTCAGTTGTGTTGCAGGTGGCGTGGGTTCGAGTGGACACGCAGACCATTCTCTCGATCCATCACAACGTGATCACGCAGAACCCTCGCATCTCTCTGTCGTACAATGACCACCGCTCCTGGTACCTGCATATCAAGAACGTACACGAGGCTGACCGAGGCTGGTACATGTGTCAGGTCAACACAGATCCCATGCGCAGTCGGCAGGGGTACCTCCAGGTCGTAGGTGAGTACCATATTTACGTCACACTTTGCGTGACTGATTTCCTTCAGCAAACTAGATACTGTAACATGTTTCTCCATCGAAATTTGGCAAGTACGACAAGCTGTATATTAATTTCCGTGACAGAGTGACGGATTCTGTCACATGAGTCATCAATATGATAACCCATGTTCTCTCTCCTGAAGCGTATTTCTCTCTCTATAATCCCGGACTTGCTCAGTCACATCCATCAGTCCTCGAACATGGTCTGTCCTTTAAAATCTAACGTTCCAAAAATAGGGGATTGTGGGGGCGAGCAGAATGATTGACAGTAACTGAAACTCCTACATACATACATGCTCTAGACTTGATTTAAACTCGGGCCATATGGATAGAGGTTCAAGCATCATATCCTCATTTCCAACATGACCAGCAAAACGAACCAGAAGTAATGAAATGCCTTTTCCATTATGTATATATACATAAATGATGACTCTAAACCTATCCAATTTGCGTAACAGGTAGAAGGTTACAATTTGTAACGGTTCGTTTCTCGAATCACAGTTAGGCTACGTGGGATATTACAATCATGAACTAAGTATATAATTCTAAACAAAATTGCGTTCTGAATGCGGGTTCACGCGTTTAAACGTCCTTCGTACTGTCTGAATACAAGGGAAGGCATAAAAGGAATTGCTGTATTTGAGGATCTCACACAACTTTCCTCCGAAACGTTGGTGGACTTGGCGATGAACTAGACAACACTAAACTTCAGAAGACCGTGCTCCTCCTAAGAGAAAGTTCCTATAATCTACTGTATATTAGGCTAAGCCAGGGAATATGCGACTAACAGTTCTAGTGCTTTCATTTATTTATGTTAAATTCATTACAGTGTAGTGGACAAAGATTGTGTATTTCATTCGTCTCTACAACTTTAGTTCGAGATATTTTTTTGCTTCGGTGTTCAGAGAATTTGAGGCAAGTTAACTGTCAAGTTCAGTGCAAAAACGCATATGGTTCTCCATGTAGTGTGTTCGTCATTTTGGTCACATTCTAGTGAAAGTTGGAACATATTAACGAACGGCATTAAACTAATCCAATACCAAATTTAACGAAAATCCGTTCAACGGTTCTCTAGCTTTCACATGCGGATAAGCTAATGATGAGACGGATATAACAGATATGAAGCTAATATGCGCAGTTCTAAGCGCGTTACCAGTTCTCTCCGTCCGTTTGGGAGCAAGGGAAAACTCGAAAACTGCTGGGCGTCTTAGACATCTGATATCGCTGGACTTCGTGAAAAATTATTGGGGCGCTTCAGTTTTCATTTTCATATGACGGCCGCCGACTTTACATGAATGCATACGTGCTTTTCTGAGTACATATCGCTTAATATTTATTGAAGAGAAAACTGGTTCGAACAAAACATTCGCTGGAAAATGTCGAACTTTCATTTTCAGCAATCAAACACGGCATCAGAACACAATCGTAGTAAAGAGAAAGATATGAAATGTTTCTATTGGCTGTAGGCTGCCTCAAAATCAAAAACTTCCCCTACTTTTATTGAACTACTTTATTACATCCCAGAGTTCACCCTACCCCTGCACTTCCTACTTCCTGCCACCATTAAAATCAACGTAGAAGACGGTCGAGCTTGGAGGTGAAATTGACACTAGCTGAAATTTATCTTGGGCACTGTTCTTTCTTTTAGTTTAACAGAGTTCCAAGAAACATGTAAACACCTTGAAAGGACTTCATAAGAATTTAAAATAACACACACACTTAGATTATGTTTTGATCATAATAATCTATAACCACCTTTGGTTATGAATGCGAAATTGTCTATGGATAAAGAGTATAAAAATATCTGTTAGTTTTTATGAATTACATAACGTATTTTTAACTAAAAACATAGAGACGATGGAAATTTTACTACTACATCTGACATTTGCAAATTATTTTTTTTATTGCTAGTGGGGTGGGACTAAGTCCCTTGTACTGCGGCCACTGTACAGACCCGGGATCAAACCCGGGCCGCTGCGGTGGGAAGCCAGCGACTAACAGCTAGAGCCATGGCGCGGCCCATTTGCAATTAGTCGGAGCCTGTATTAGTGGAAAATAAGTGCAGAAACTGATTAGCAAATATAGCTAATAAAAGTTTCTGAATTACATTTTACTATTCCGCAAGTAGTTCTATTCTTTCCGGTTTGAAAATTATAGGCCACGGAAACCCCTACAATAATTCTGAAACGCTCTGTATATTATATCTACTTCTTTATTGGTTTTGCTAGCCTCACCATGTGAACTGAAATATATGAAGGAGAGTAGGCGTCATAAGTCTTCCTACAATATCTGTTCTTGTTACAGTTCCCCCAACCATAGTGGACAAGGACACCAGCACCGATATGGTTGTCCGGGAGACGGCAAACGTGACTCTCACGTGCAAGGCCACAGGGTACCCTGAACCCTACGTCATGTGGAGGCGGGAAGACGGGGAAGATATATTCTACAACGGCGAAAATGGTGAGTACGGCAACTGCTACAGCATCAGATAAATTCTATGTGCAGAATTACGGAACGTACTTTTATATCTGGTTACCATTTTGTTTACTACCATTTTAAGAAACAAATTACACCGTTCGAATTCTCGTAAAATGTTAATTTTTATAATGTCATCATTTTAAATAATTTTCTTGACATAACTAACGAATTAACACATTTAAAACTATCTACAACCTTAAGTCTCTAGATCTTATACAGTTTTAGTTTCATATGGAATTTATCTTCTATAGACTGAGAACTTCATAATAATTATGACCAAATGCAGATCTTTCGCATAGGGTCTATCAATACAAGAGCCAAGAAGAGTTCGGGAGAGAATTAAGTTGGATACATTCAGAAGTACAAGAGAGTTACAGCAGCTTATGGAGTCAGATTTAATTCAGATGACGCGAGCTATATTATTTGGTTATCAGGACGATTACGAATTTCCGAACTATTCCTAATTACTTTAGTGTTTATATGTTTTTGTGTTGTCACTGCTGTCTATGGTATTGGGATAATACCGTGTTAAATTTACTGTAAAGAAAGCGGCATAAACCAATGACGAATTCAAATTTCAAAGTTAACAATAACTTATAAGCCAGAATTCATTCATATTTAAAGCTACAGAACCGAACCAAGAATCCAATCCATTATAGAAACTACAACGACCGTGTATCAGAGATGATAACTATATTTTTCTGGATGTAGGACGATTTAATGCCACACTTTGTGGTCCAAATATGGGTTAATAACTGTATCTCTTCAGGAGTATGGAGTCACAATTGTGTGCAATAAGGTACACTAAAAGCAAAGTTGGTAACTGAATTCTTCTCTTTTATTGAGGACTTATGATTGTTTCCATTCAGGTAGAAGCAGAATTTATACATTTTTCTGTCATACAGAAGGCTGGTAATTCCTTCTATTCAGATATTCAGGGCTCATAACGGCGCTCATTCAAGAAATATGAATTCGATACCTTCATCAATTCAGTGGTATGAAGTGCTAATATTTGCGTTCAGATATACAGACTGTTCCAGGAGGAATGGTCAATATTCTTGGAGGTCACAGTATCAGTCATTTGAAGCAAATAAGTGTATATGTACATGTGTCCTATTCCGAGCGGTTTCTGAGATACAGCTATTTCGGTGTACAGTTCCAAAAATTGTTGGCAAGAAAGGGATAATACGTACTGTTTTAGTACCGGTATTTATTGTTCAAGTTACAAAGTCGGTATAAGTAGTTACTATAGGATTCTGACGATGGTGTATAACACACTGATATATTGGGTTTTTGGACTTTATCCCAACAGAATAGGTGTTTTCCTTCACCTGAGGACGGAAACAGATTCAGTTTCCGAAACGTCGTGTTTTTATTAGTTATCTTAAAAACCAGGACGATGGATAAAGTCCAAAAACCCAATATATCATAGTTGGTACAGTTTACCTAATAATACATTTTCGAAAATTCCACCGTCAACAACAGTACACTTTGCAGCTCGTGTGAGGACATGGCGTGTTGCCCGTCTGAGTGCATCTAGACGTTCCTTTATGCGGGCGATAACATTCATCATGTGACCGAGCAGTTCGTCTTGTGTATCCACTTCTGTACACTTTACTATTCATCCAGCCCCACAAACAATCTAATGGGGTTAGGTCTGGAGATCTTGGTGGCCAGTTAATACTGCTGCCACGACCGAGCAACCGATCAGGGAAAGTTTCATCGAGATGTTGCATCACAAGCCGGGTACAATGAGAAGAGGTTCCGTCGTGCTGAAAGTACATGGCAAACTGTGTACCCAAAGGAACATCCTATAATTTTTCTGGTAATGCATTGTGTACAAAGTCATGTAATTATGTCCTGTCATACCTTCGTCTAAAACAACGGGACAGCAGCGCAGCATGGTGGAAGGGAAGGACAATATTGGGCGCCAAATCCAATAGTGAAATACCTTTATCTCGGAAATCGTTTGGAACAGGACACATGTACAAATATACTTTTTGCTTAGAATGACCGATACTATGATCTCTCAGAATACTGACCTCTCCCCCTGGGACATGTGTATATATACTGTGACATGTAGACCCATTGCTAGGGAACGAGTCAGCAAACACGTTTCCGTGACAAAAGCGCTAAAAAATAGGACATGCATTGCTAGGTAACGGATGGGTAGACGTGCGTTCTGGACAACAGTAGACGTCGATTGCTAGGAAATGGGCATGTTTTCTATGGATTCACCTCGATGCTCTGTAAGTACTACTGAATGGAGGCAGATCAGATCAGATGAGAACAGAGATAGACCAGAATAGGGGCAAGTCAGATCAGAATGGAGCCAGTCGTAGTCCAGTCAGAAGGGATCGAGTCCTAGGCAGCCATTGATTGTGAGTTATTGTAATATACTGTGACTACGAGTGACTGTAAAGGAGTGAGCAATAAATCTAATTATCCAATCCAAACCCCGTCTCATTTGTCACTTCCATAAAACGTGACAATATACTGATCACTTAGTTTATTTAGGCACATAACTGGCTGGCAATTGTGAGCATCGCTTCTACGCTACACATACAAGCAGTGTAGCGAAAGAGTGAAACATGTCTATGTATAATGGTTATTAGAATACAGACACCGACACTCATCATGTAGCAGATCGGTCTGCGTCTAAGGCTCGTTCACTGCGTTTTTTTAATAACGTACACAGTGACAGGATGGGGCTAGATATTCTGATGAAAGCTCTGTATTTAATAATGTCTTCAACGTCAGAAGGAGGCATTCGACCAATCAGACGCGGAAATACACAGCAACTCAACTGCCAGGGTTCGCTGACAATTTAAATAAAACTGGGGGTCTGCAGAGGGCTCAGGCCACTGCAACTGAGGTACTCCTCGGGCTCTCTCTACTCCACTTGAAGCTGGAGAACGAGGCCCGATCAAGAATTTACAGCGACTGCTGCAGGGACGGTGGGATCCGAAGGCAAGAGGGACTCCTGTGTATGTCTGAACACGAATGAAAGCCCACCCTACAGATGGGGATTGACAAAATGATATAGAGACTGATAAATCTTTCAATGTCAGGTTTCCTGACAGAGGTAGATAGTTATTCGGAGTTCAAACGGGCAGAAACGGGAGACTAGTCCCGTACACAGAAGGTTCCAACATGAACAAAGGCCTCAGGGTAGAACTGTATGGGTATGATACAGGGAATATGCTGAGCGTTCGCCTTGGACAATATAACACGCTATTGTAGGCAGTTTTGCATGCCATCAAGGTGTATCCAGCAGAGGATAGGGGCTACAAAACATAAACACCCGCACTTCATCAGTCAAGCAGCAACTGAAACACTTTACTTTGCCAGATTAAATCTAAATGGTTTGAGGGCATCATCAGCCCCCCGCAAAACTGACGGAACATGACACGGTTTACTTGGTATGCATGCCGGATTACTGGGAGCCGAAGACAGTAAACTGCCTATCGGCAGGCTAGAATGAGATCGGAATGTCCATTATTGCGACCTGAACCGGCACGCGGTATCTCAGCCGGGGGTGTCAAGTAGGTTGTCAAGAGACTGGTTAAAAAACATTGGGCAAAGCTTCCTTCAAGGACCCAGGAACTAGCTGAGATAGGTGTGAATATTACTTACAGAGTACTGTCACCAGAAATGACATCTCTTCAAATTGCAACTAACCAACAGTCCCACTTACGAAAGGTGCCTGAACGAAGATGAAACAATCTCACATGTTTCATTTGACTGTGAGGCCATTGGCTCTCAGATACAACTGAGCGAACTAATATGAAATAACAGGATAACCAGCTGGGCCCTGGAGAGGGCTGTTTGTGCTGGTCTCGGAAGAGACAGGGGAGAAATGTTAAGTGTCTAGTAGGTAGAGAAGCGAGACGTAAGAGACAGAAGTCGTGTGCCTGGCTCCTAGGCATACAGTGGAGAATGAAAGAGCATAGTTAGAGGAGGGAAGCAGGGATAGCAGAGTGAAGGCTTAAGGCTGATGAATGACCAGAGAGGGCAGAGTTTGTGCCCTGATAAGGGTGGTGTCCACGGGCCTACGTGCGCAGAACCCAGCTCTGCAGTCCCTCGAGGGAGGCTTCCTACGGTCTTTCAGGGAGCTGATGAGAGGTTTCTATGCCTTAACTCTATTCTTTCTGGTCCCTCACACTAGTAAACTAAATTACAGGATAACTGTGAACACCGCCAGTGTGATTCAATTTATAGATTTTTATTGCCTCTTTTACATGTTTCGGTCAACTGACCATCTTCGGAAGGCATAAGATCAGCATGTCCAGGAACTACTATTATACTCGTAATACACACTTAAAAGTATATATATAAAAAGTTATTTACAAATTATTTGGATTAAAATCTAATTGATGTCTAATATTTAAGATCTTGAACCGATATGGTTTGCGTCCTTGTGCCTCTTCTGTTGAAACGGAATGTTGGGGTATTATTTTGAGTCCTCAGAGGTCCTCTTAGTGATGTCGCCCTCCTTCTTTTTTTAGCTTCTTATCATTCTGCAATTATATTACGGGTATTATATATACCCTCAATTTATTTCTGTAACGCCGAATTTATGTGAAATTTATCTCATGCGTTCCTACCCGTATCGTTGTGATACAATCGCACTGGACGGTGTCAAAATTATTCTATAATTCCATGCCTTGCTCGGACAGAAACCATCCTGTTTATATTGTTGGGATGGAGCTGAATCTCAGCCCCATCCCTGATGATGCGATCCGCGTGTCTGGGTTTGGTGGACAGGGCGGTTGTATTGTCAAATCCTACCCAGTTACACTAGTTTAAACACAGTTAGGAGATAACTGTAATAAGACGAGCCTTGCTGTATATTTGCTTCATAAAGACTATTCCAAACTCGCAACGAAATAATTTACTCTTCTCCTTTAGACTTATCTGAGGATCGATTATGTTTTTAAACGGAATCCAGAGCAAAATGATTTATAAATAAGTGCGAACCT